TTCCTTTCTTTCTCTTTCTCTCTCTCTCTGTGTCTGTCTGTCTGTGTGTGTGTGTGTGTGTGTGTGTGTGTGTGTGTGTGTGTGAGAGGGGTGGGTTTCAAAAAATTTTGGAACCTCTTCTGTAGGTGTGGCCTGCTTTCCGGGTCCACTGGTGGAACCTCTTCTAACCGGTTCGGTAGATTTGACGAACCAGTTCTACCGAACTGGTAAGAACTGGTAAGAACCCACCTCTGGTATGTATAAACTAAGCCAATAAACATGTTTGCATATGATGCTAAATCCAAGCTGGGGCTGAAGTAAGCCACTACATCACGCTCATGACCATTGATAGAATATCAGCTGCAAAACTTCTGGTTTTATGTGCCCTTTCCATGCATGTGCAGCTGTTCCTTTGCATGGGTCGTTTAGCCCTAAACAAGTTGTTAATCCATTTTTAAAACAAGTTTGTTTTGTTTGTTTGTTTACAGAAAAGATGGCGCCCCACTCAGGATCTGTAGGACCAGTTGGTTTACCCCTGGAAACTGAAGAACAACTGATTAAGCGAATGATGGCCAGAAGGCAAAAGATAATTGCAGAAATACTCCAAACAGAAAGAGATTATCTTGGTGATCTGGAACTCTGCATCAGAATAGTGGTTGAGCCCTTGAAAAAAAGGCAGGTAAGGAAGTTTTGGTCCTTCCTTTCCTTCCTTCCCTTCCTTCCCTCCCTCCCTCCCTCCCTTCCTTCCTTCCTTCCTTTCTTCCTTCCTTCCTTCCTTCCTTTCTGCTCTTTTTCTACCTTTATCTGAGAAAAGCAAAGAAACTGGATGCAATTGCTAGTTTACTTTCAGGTCATTATCTTGAAAGCCCTTTATGGCATGGGCCCAGGATATCAGAGGAACTGGCTTTCCCCATAACCCGTCCCACTCATTCCAGTGAAAAGGTCCTACTTTGGATCGTGTCAGCCAAACAATTTTGACTGGCAGGGTCCAGAAGAAAGAAAAACTAGTTGTGTTCACAAGATAAATGAAGCATAAACTAGGGACTGGTAATTGAATTTTACTTAGTGTGATGATGTGAGAACTTAGTGATAAATTTATGGTTCAGTCAGTTGTGTGTACACAGGAACTCAAAATGAGAAAGCCAACATTCAGTTAACTGGTGGTGTGTCATGCAAAATGCATGTGTGCCTGTAACATCTCTGCTACATGAGCTGTAGTAGGTGCCAGTTTGTTCCAGTCCGATTCAAGGTGTTCGTCACCCCCTTTCAAGCACTTAATGGCAAGGGACCAAGTTACCTGAGGAACATATAGTCCCAACTGCATCAGCCCATCCCACCCAGTCAAGCAAAGAGGTCATGTGTCATATCTCATTAGTCAAGGAGTTTCAACTAGCAAAACTTGTGGAACCAGGAGGAAGGCCTTCTCTGCTGTTACCTCTGTTCTTTAGAAATTTTACCCTCAATCTTCTGAAGTGTGAGGCAGCCCCGGGGACAGCTGGTGACTTGAGGCTACTCCCACACTCTCATTAACGTTTTAGCCTTCCGAATTTTTACCTTTGATTTTTAAGTTTTAACTTTTTATCTGTCCCTTTGTTCAGGTTTCATTTGTTACATTGTTGTAAATTACCCAGAGTCACTTAGTTGAGGTGAGCAGTGAAGAAATTTAATAAATAACAGACAGAGAGACATAGAGGCTGTATTTGCACATGCAGATAGTTAACAATATCTTATAGTAATTTGCTTTGTAAACCCAGACTGCAGGGTACTGCATCTCAGATTGTGATGCTAATGGAAGTGCTTATTACAATTGTATCTTTTCATGCAGGTTTTATTCTGTCAGTTTGTTGTTCAGACGGCACTTCAAAAATGTCTGGCTACCACTTAAACAGCACATTCTGAATTTTATTTTCAAGCAAAACAGGCAGCCCACTCTATTAAAATATTTTTATTATTTTTTGCACATTTTTATTATTAAATGGATTTGTATAGCTTCTTTGTATATACTGTAGCATTGCAACAAAAAAGATAACTTTTCTATTTTTAAAAGTATAGACATTAGGAATTAATAATCAAGCTGATAATCTAAATTATTTACATCGTTACCTTTCGTTTTGTCACATTTTTGTTTGAGAAACAAACTTAAGATAGAACAACTTTCTTTACAGGGAGGTTGCTATGAGGGGAAGGAAAGTATTTGCCATTCTCCAACCTTGTGTTACTTATTTGTATTGTCCCTCAGCCTCCTAATCTTCCAGTCAGTATAATTTTGAATTCGCTGCTTAAAAAAATTAATTATGTATTTATATAATAATAAAAAGTGCAATCTATTTCATCATATAGTCCTTAACCTGTTGGGTTCAAATCTTAGTAGCAATGTATACATTTTGGCTTATTATATAGTCATCATTTGTATATAACTATTTCAAATTCAGTTTTGTTTTGTTTTTATTTCAATTGTCCTTTTATTTAAACCTCTCTTTCATCTGATTCTCATCTGAGAAAACTCATCAAAATGTGGGCATTTAGAGTGTGTTTGTGAGCAAAAGAGTAGCTTGACAATAGTAGCACCTCATTTTTCCCCCAGTTTTTGCCCATTGTTTTGGTTTCATTAGATTGCGCGACTTGATGTGGACAGCTTATTCAGCAACATTGAATCGGTCCATGAAATATCATCCAAACTGTTGTCATTGTTGGAAGAAGCAACTTCAGATGTGGAACCAGCCATGCAAGAAATTGGTATGTTGTTGTCTTCCTGACTTCTACAGTGCTACATGCAGCAATAACAACAATTGTAATAATAATGCTGCAATAATTTGCCCATTGCCCCAGCCACAGTCAAACCTACCTGTTTACTTTTCCAAACTACCATTCCAAGTAGTGTGCAAATGAAAGATGGAGAATCAGGCCCATAATCAACTGGCAAATCACACCCACCTAGCTTCATCCAGGTGGCAACAGCTCCTATCAGACTTTCTTACGGATGCTCTTCCAGCAGCATGTAATTGTACTAACTGGGTCAAATATCTTTTATTTTGGGGAGCCCTGGCCCCAGGATGTGGGAAGGCCCCATGCATCAGATAGCTCTAGCAAGTCTTTGTCATTACTGGGCCCTTCCCGATTTGTCAGGCTGGAAACAGTAAGTCACTTTTCCAATCAGTGTTTGAGAGCAGAGCTATCCACATACAGGAGGCCTAAAAAGACAACACATAGCAGAACAATTATCTGGGGCTGAAACAAATGGGTGTTATTTTGCACTGCTAAATTGTCATCTTCCCTTTTTTGACCTCCTGCTCAGGATGTGGCTATCCAGAGCTGTGTTTCATATTACTTGGCATTCAAGTATGTTCTGTAATGGAGAGGGTTGCTTTGTAGCTCTTTTCCTTAGAGGATATGCAAACAGATCAATTGACTGGCTCTAGGTGTTTCCAGGATACAGGTGACTGGACTGTGTTATCTAACCCTTTTCAAATGAACCACCCAGAGATTAGCTGTCTTGCTCTAACTCAGTGGCTAAGACGCTGAGCTTATCGATCAGAAAGATCGGCAGTTCAACGGTTCAAATCCCTAGCACCGCGTAACTAAGTGAACTCCCGTTACTTGTGCCAGCTTCTGCCAACCTAGCAGTTCGAAAGCATGTAAAAATGCAAGTAGAAAAATAGGAACCACCTTTGGTGGGAAGGTAACAGCATTCCATGAACCTTCAGCATTTAGTCATGCTGGCCACATGACCACAGAGACGTCTTCAGACAGAGCTGGCTCTTTGGCTTTGAAACAGAGGTGAGCACTGCCCCCTAGAGTCGGGAATGACTAGCACATATGTGCGAGGGGAACCTTTACCTTTACCTTTAAAGCTCCACTAACTCTGTATATTTATTAGATTATATTCTGTTTTTCATCCAGGAGCTCAAAGCAACTTAAAGTATATGGGTATTTTTATTTTACTTTCACAACAAAGGTGTCTTTCAATGGCTAAGACTGGGCTTAAATTTGGGCCCCTGCAGCTCCAGTCCAACACCTCAGTTACTCCATCCCACTGGGTCTGCCTAGGAAAATAAAGGACAAAGCTGCATAAAAGTAACATCTTCACACAGATTAAAACAAAGGTTTTTAGAGTTTCCCAAACGGTGCTTTATTTGATGTCATATAAAGCAAACATAACTGACCTTCCATATGTATTTCTGAATTATAATATCTAATATTCCTCACAATGTTTGACTTCACCCTGAGTTTTTTTATTGTTTGGGTTTTTTGTTTTTTTTTTTGCTTTTTTCCTATGAATGCAAAAGCTAAATAACCTTTTGATCTTTTAGTTGATCATCATTTATGCAATGATGTAATTCAATATTCTATAAATAATATGTTAGATCAGGAGGGATGAGCTAACACATACCTAGAATACATTCATGCGTTTTCTTGCTATGAGGAATAAATTGTCATTGTCATCCTCCTATGTTTTTTCAACTCCTCAGTCTAGCCCCGTGATGGCGAACGTATGGCACGTGTGCCACAGGTGGCACGCGGAGCCATTTGTTAGGGCATGCCAGGCATTGCCCTGTCAGCTCCAGCTCCAGTTCTGTTCCCGAATTTCTGGGTTGCCCATAGGGTCATTTTTCACCCTCTGGAGGCTTCAGGGAAGTGTCTGGAAGGCCTCCGTGAGGGCGGGGAGGCTGTTTTCACCCTCCCCGGGCTCCTAGAAAGTCCCTGGAGCCTGGGGAGGGTGAAAAAAGCACGCCAAAAGCAAGGGGGAGGGCGCTGGTTGTGCATGCATGCACGTTTGGGTCGCATGCATAGCATTATGGGTGTGGGCACGCTGTGCACGATCCCCCGTGCACTCCCCCTGCTTTTGGCATGCGATCCAAAAAAGGTTAGCCATCACTAGTCTAGCCTATAGCTCTTAGATTTCAGATGATCACCCATCCAAATTGTAAACAGAACCAAAGCTGAAGGTTTAGTCACATTGGATGAGTGTTTAACCTCCATGAGCTTGCATGCACATGCACAAGTGACACACACATACAAGTATAGGGTGAAGATCTGGTTCAAAATGGACATCCAAATTTTGATTGGTGATCTGAAGATAGCAAGATTTACTTTGGAGCATTTGAGTTGGAAGAGGTAATTCATAAATATATCAAACTTATGCTGTATTGGAAAAGCATCAAAATGTCCACAGTGCTTTATGTAACGTGTAGCTTTCTGAGTGTTTGTGTATTCACACTATATAAAGTTTTGCTTTGTCTTTAAAAAAAAAACAAATAAAACATAACAAATCATGATTTGTTGACTGGGATATTGGCTGAGTTTAAACAACATGTTACACCCTAAAGTTAGGTCTTAGCACACATGACACAGAACACTAAAACAAAAAGAAGTTAAGTTTCTGAAAGATGCCCTAATTGATTCATGAGCCTCAAGCCAAGTTTCAAAAGAAAACCAATCATTTATTAGGAGCACCATTTTGGCAATACCCTATTGCAATCAGATCTGAGCCTCATTTGAATTATAGCTGAACTTTACCCCGTTCCTTCCCTCCCCTCAGTCTGTATCACAAATCACATTCTCCAATGAAGTGCACCCCTCACAAGCCTGCTGTAGTAATCTGAGATCCGACTCTAGCTGAAGGTATGCGTGGAATGCGTTTCTCCCCCTTCCTCACCATGTCAACTTTATGAGTTGACATTAGTGCTTCATGATTTAAAGGGATTAATGAAACCAGCCAATGTATAGTTAATCTGAGAAGAAACAAGAATAGTATTGTTGACTGTAAGAGTTGCTATGTGATTCCTGATTCAGAGGCAACAGGGTAGAAAACTAATCATGTTTCATTATAGCTAATTATAAGTTGAATAGCTTTTTTGAGAAAGCCTTCTGCAGCATCCAAGGACACTCTGATTGAAGGCCTTTGGTAGGTTGTTGATTCATATTCTTAGTAGTGTTATTAAAATAAATGATGTGAGTGGCGGAGGGAAGAGAAGGTTTCCTTTTTTTACGCATGCAGTAAAAAGGACATGGCTCCATTTAATCATATCCATGGGCACGTTATCTGTAATGAAAGCTGTGCATTTAGCCTCTTGTCAACCCAGTTCACCTTTCCATGTTTGGCATTTATCTTAGTTACTAGACACAAAGGAAAAATCAAATACTGAATTGTTTTGTCTCCAAATTAGCTAGAAGGCAAAATAAATGCATTGCACAGAGGTGCTGCTTTTTACAGATAGGTTTTTGCAGCTGAAGTATCGCATGAGACCATGCTTTATGCTTTCCAATTTCTGTACCTGCATCGTTCTCTTAATGAGAAGTAAATTCTTTCAAGAAGTTTCTTTCTAGTTGCTTTCAAGAAGTCAAAGACTGCCTTCCTTTTGTGCTTTTCTTTGTTGAGGGCTTACCTTTCATAACAGCTTGATGTCTCAAAATCAGGAAAAGTGCCCCTGAAGCTGGTATCACTGGATTCCTACCATTATTGTGACTATTGAACAAACGAAAAATGATTTAATTTAATGTCCACTTTAAATCAAGGAGCCCAACAGTGCTGTGCTTTATTTTCAAACTAAGAAAATAAATAATTATTGATTTGCACATCACGACTTAACTGAGAATGACATGGAAAGATTTTTAATGCAGCTAACACCTTAAAGAAATAATTCCTATTGCTGAAGGACTAAAATTATGGACAACTCTTCGACCTTATAGTTCTCCAAAGTTAACTTGAGCCAACTAGCTGTCCTGTGTAAAGTAAGTTCTTTTAAAAAGAGGGACCTTAATGGGTGTCATTTAGAGCAGGGGTGTCAAACTCAAGGCTCGGGGGCCAGATCCAGCCCATGGGGTGCTTAGATCCCTAGAAACAGCAAAGAACTAGCCTGCGGTGTCTCTGACAGTGAAAACGAAGCTCTGGAGGGCCACGTGTGACCCTCCCAGGCTCCATTTTCAGCTGCCCCCCCTCTGCCAGTGAAAATGGAGCTCTGTTTTCAAGATGGCCATATCCACCCCACTTCTAAGGTCAAATAGAGGCTTGACACCCCTGATTTAGAGCAATATTCAATAATTGCAGCACTACCACTGAGAAGGCCAACTGAGATTCCAACTCCTAGGTAGACAAATCAAGAAACAGAGTTTCCAAGACCAATTGTTAAGTGTCCTGCAGATTTTAAAGGAGACAATAAATCACGTTACAAATTTTAGAGAGACCATGTATCATCTGACAGTGGTTTTATTTTGACTTATATGTATTTTTGACTTTCCCAGGTCAAGTGTTCCTACAGATTAAAGATGTACTAGAAGAAGCATACAAAATCTACTGTTACCACCACGATGATGCTCACCTTCTTCTGGAATTCTATGAAAAGGACGAGGAATTGAAACAGTGTATAAAAGACTGTCTACAGTCCTTGAAGTAAGATTTTTAGAAGACGTTTTCATTTTTTGTCTGTTGTACTGCATTTGCGAGAGCTAATGTTTATTATAAATCCTAAATTATGGGAGAGTTGGAGTGGATTATATTTTCAAAAGTTTGCTTTAGTAAGGGTGCTCCTGTTTTTTCAATAAGTTACTTGATTAGATTTATCTAATGCTTTTGATTCCTTTTGCATGATTTCAAAAAATTTAAAATGTTAGCAAAAATGCAATATTACTTTTTATCTTTATTTTACTTTTGCTTTATTATTATAAAGATAAAAAACTAATACAAACTAAAAATGAAAGTATAAAAATAAAACATAAAGTGCAGAAAAGTAGAAAAGAGGAAAGAAAACAGTAAAAAAGAAAAGATATAGAAAGAAATGACTTACCCTTTTATCACGAGTATAAACAATTTCAATAACTTATCACTTTCTCATAAAATGCAACAAATGATCTCTTTTTCTCATATCCCATATCTTATCTATAAACAATCCTTAAAGCTTCATTGTTTCAGTACTGATCAGCAAGAGTTCATTAAGGATTATCAGAGATAAGATATTTATTTAACCTTAATCAAATAAATCAACACTATATTCCTCCCTTTTAATAATTTTGATCTTTAGTCTCTTCAAATAATGTCCTAGAATTTGATTTCTTTTCTTTCTTCTCACAAAATTCTTCAAAGTTTTAACCTCTTTTGTAAATGCAATATAGGAAAATTATCCAGGTTATTCTCTCCGTTTGTTATTTATATCTACAGTACCTTTTCATTATTAAGATATCAGCCAATTTTTTAATATGTCCATGTGTAACATGTTTTTCTATGTCAAAACCTGTCACTATAAAATCAAATTTAAACCAATTGTCATCATCTCAGGTAACACTTGTTCCACTTTCATAGGATAGCATCTTTTAAATATATTCCATAGAGGCTCATACTTTTAAAATTAATTGATTGTTCAAAAAAAAAGTTAAAAGTCTTATTACTGGAATGTTTTTTTAATAATTCAAAACAAAAGTATTTTCCCACAGGAATAATTAATTTCAAAACCTTACTTCAAATTCATCTGGTCTGTTTGTAACTTTCCAAAATCAAAATTCTAATTACCCTTTTGCTGTTTATTTTTTAAAAAATCCTTAAACTTATACTTAAAATGTCTGTCACTGACACTGTAAAACATATCAATCCAAAGATTTCTAATATCTGAAAATCAGTTAACAAGCAATTTCCAAAAGTGATTAGAAAAGTATATAAATCCAGTGCCCTTAAAGGTGCCAACCATGGGTCGAGCAAGATGCCTATTCCCTTATCATCCAGAGCATAAACATGCCAAAGACCACTGTCTTGCAGTCTCCTCGCAAGAAGCAACTCTAAGGAGAACTTCTGGGTGATTTGAGGAATTCTCCTCATCCAGAATAGAATTACATATGTTTAAGTACTTCACCACAGTTTCTATTTACTGGGGTCATGAAAATTCCAGCAATGGAATGGAAACACCTGGGCATTAGCCTGTTCCATCTTTTGGAATTTTTGGAAGGGTTAATACAAGACAGTGAGGTGAAGCCATAAGGGTGGGCGTTTTGCTTGACTCTTAGAAGCAAGTGGAATGTATGGCTTCATGAAGTAGATTGGAAAGGAATAATGTCAGAGTTCCAAGTAACATACTCATAGCAAACAAAATTCAGAGGTAGGTAGATCCCTCAAATAATAAGTTTATTGGATATGTCATATTGGCAAAGGCTGGTGAAAACCGACTCTGATTATTCCCGTGGTTTTCACCTAATTAAAAGTAAAATTTTCCACTTTCTCAAAACAATCTATCACATGGTCCAATCAGAATACTGTCCACTTGCTAGGTGACTCCGGTCCCTTTCTTCCGAGCACCTGCAGGAAGGGCCTTGGTTCCCAAAAGAAAATATTTTGTTTTGACTGCAATGCCCTCCTCTAGTCCCCCCTCCCTATCCCTCTTGTCCAGCGTGTCAGCATTGAAGTCTCAAAATGGCCTCAGTCAGGCCAGCTTCAGGGTGACATTGAGGAATCAATAAAGTGAAACACCTTTTAGAAAACTGCACGATCTAACTGATACTCAATTGTCCTTCAACAAAGCAGTACTTAGAAGTTATTTATTCATCAATATTTATTTATTCATTTGTTAAATGCCTCATCTTTCCTTAGGGCCACACAAAAAAACTTTCCCTTTATTTTATTCCCACAACATGACAATATAGTATCAAACTGTAATGAATCTAAAATTGAAGTGAAGATCCAAAAGTCCCATTGTGCCAGAAGGGATATGTAATATTCAAAAAGTTACTGCCTTATTATAGTAACACTAAATCAAGATATAGTTTGGTTTAAGCACTTAGGGTCTACAGTATGGCTTCTGGATTCCTCGTGGGTCTTTAAGGTTTTATTTTTCACAATAAATACTTTATACTTATTCATTTATATATTCTTTTATTCATCTTAACAATAAAAGTAGTGGGTGGCTCCAGCCTGTGATTTGTTAGGATGTGTGTTTATCTGCCAAGAAAAAATGCAAAGGTAAGCTGAGGTGATAGAATGCATCTGGGAGACTTAAAGATGCACTTCTGTGTCATGGAAAAATAATTTCAACAGTTCTGGAAAATTGGTATGTTGTGACGAGTTAGATTCTCTGTGATAGCCGTTTCATTAGATGCCTGGGACAGTTCTCAAAATACCGTATTTTTCGGAGTATAAGATGCACTGGAGTATAAGACGCAGCAAGGTTTTGAAGAGGCAAATTAAACAAAAAAGGTTTTTGCATTCTACAAACCTCCCAAAAATGGCCCATTTTTCATGAAAATGGACCTTTTTTTTTTTAAAGGGCATGAATAGCCCTTAGGAGGCTTGTAGTGTGTTCCTGGGTGGGGGAGGCAAAAATGAGCAAAAAACCAACCCATTTTTTGTGAAAACAAGCCCAATTTTTTCCCCCATAAAGGGCATTAGGAAGCTTATAGAGTGCTCCTGGGGGCTGGGGGGGGACAAAATTGAGCAAAAAACAGCCCATTTTTTGTTCATTTCTGCCCTCCCCAGCCCCCAGGAGCTCTCTGAAAGCCTCCTACTAGATATGCACTGCATTTTGGTGAAGGGGGTGGGGTTTCAGGAGGCCAAAAATGCTGTATTCAGTGTATAGGATGCACCCAGATTTTCAGCCTCTTTTTTGAGGGTGCATCTTATACTCCAAAAAATACGATACTTAACTCCCACTGGCTCAAAAAAAAAATCAACAATCAGAGATGCCTGAACTAGGATCAGCGTACTAATATTCTCTAATTCAGTTAATTTTGCTGACTATCAGCAGTTCGGCAGTTCGAATTTCACCACACTGAAGGTTGACTCAGCCCTCCATCCTTCCGAGGTCAGTAAAATGATTATTGGAGGCAATATGTTGACTGTCAACCACTTGGAGAGGGATGTAAAGCACTGTGAAGCAATATATAAGTCTAAGTGCTATTGCTATTGCTTTTCTTAAGAGACTGCTAATGATTCCATATTTCTTTTTTCTTTTTGCAGAAAGATCTATGAAGAAGGGTAAGTTTATTTAGTACATTTATTTAGATGTATTGCAGTATTACCTCTGCCCTGCATTTGGCATGGCTAATTGTGAACCCTATGTATATGTATAATACTTACAACAGTTTATTTAGTGACCGTTCAAGCTTACAATGGCACTGAAAAAATGACCATTTTTCACACTTATGACCGCTGCAACATCGCCATGATCATGTACTCAAAATTCAGATGCTTGGCAACTGGTTCATACTTATGATTGTTGCAGCGTCCTGGAGTCATGTGATCTCCTTTTACAACCTTCTGACATGAAAAGTCAATGAGGAAGCCAGATTCACTTAACAATTGTACGAATGTCATAAAATGGGGTAAAACTCATTTAACAAATGTCATAAATTTGGGCTCAGTTGGGGTTGAAAGTCCAGGACTACCTGTAAGATGCTTATTATATCTTATTATGTACATAAATCAATGAATATGTTATTGTATTCCACTATTTTTGGGAAAATCAATAAGAGTATAGAGAAAACCATGGCCAGCCAAGAAAACAAACAAAGGGATTGTCAATCAAATCAGTCCCGAGTTCTTGTTATAGGCACAAATGAACAGGCCCAAATTATCCTACTTTGAAAAGGCTGTAATAGTGGTAAAGGTGGAAGGAAAGGAAAGAAGAGGATGGCCAGGAGCAAGGTGGATGGACTTACAGTGGCATAACAGAATAACAGAGTTGGAAGAGACCTGGTCCAACCCCCTGCTCAAGCAGGAGACCCTATACCAGTGGTGGCTAACTTTCCGGGCTGAGTGCCCAAAGCATGCATGTGCCCAACCCCCAAAAAGCAATATGCATGTACCCCCCGTGCATGTACCCCCTTGTGTGCCCCACCCCTCGTGCATGCGCAGCAGAGCCCCAAAGACCAGATGGCTGGCAGGAGATGCGTGCGCATGCGCAGCAGAACTGAACTGGGGCAATGGCTCATGTGCCCACAGAGAGGGCGCTGCATGCCACCTCTGGCAACCGTGCCATAGGTTCACCATCACATCCCTATACCCTTTCAGATAAATGGTTGTCCAATCTCTTCTTAAAAACCTCCAGTGATGGAGGTTTATATATATATATATATATATATATATATATATATATAT